GGGGCCCATGGTCACTTATTTTGCAGATAAAATCACCAAAAACACTGTAATAATACGAAATGTTACGATTGTATGCTTGGATGTTACCGCGGAGGCTGGCTTGTAAACAATGCCACCGGCGGAACATGTGAGGCTGGCTCAGGCCTCACATAGACGTGTCTCGGACGAACAGCGTTGAGCGGGTTTTTTAGCGGTATGTGAGGCAAAATCTTAGCGATAAAATGTATCAGTATGCAGATTTAATGTTATGTAAGGCCAACGGTATGCGGGGGTTCACTATATTGAGAAAGAGGCTCTAGCTCTTGTGGTGTCCTTGGAACATTTTGACGTATATTTGGGCACTTCCCCATTTAAAATTAACGTTTTTTCAGACCACAATCCACTCACTTATATTAACACTATGAAAAGTAAAAATGCTAGGATCATGAGGTGGGCCCTCAGAATCCAACCTTATTCTATTAGTATAAAACACATAAGTGGTCATTGTAATGTAATTGCCGACGCTCTGTCACGTCCTTAATAATTATCAGTTACATTAAATTAACGTAATTTTAATGCCCAAATTCCTTTTGTTACTTGCTATGTCAAATTCAGTAAAGTAACTTAATCCCTCCAGGCCATATTAACTATATATACTCATGTCTAATTATTATATTTATATATTCACAGTATTGTTGTGTGTAAGGAGACATAAGCTGAGTGTTGAGTGGGTAGTGTCGTGTGGGAGATGTTACTGCTTGGCGGAACACTGTCCTGCCGCAGACCTTCCCCCTCACTGCACACCTTAAGCTGTTTCATACTCAGATGTCCATACTGCATAGCATTCCACAGCCACTACTTAAGAGTGGAATGCTGTCTCCTGTCTATAACACAACTGCTCGTCTACGCTATCCTGTCTCTACACTGATGTACATAACCACGAGTATGCGGAGATACGATACCGTGTACTGCCCTAGTACTAGGGGCATATCTTAGTGTACAGACGCTGTGAAATTGTAGAGGTGCTTGGCACAAGAGAGAGACTGATTAATGTTTATATTAAATTGTATTGATATGAGTAATCAATAATAATGTGAAAGACATTAATGCAACTTCTAGTGCGACCGTTTGTCGTGTTGAGGGGGTGTTGCAACCCCTGAATGGGTTGCAATGATTATTATGTATATATATAATTATTATCTTTTCATATAATTTTATATTGCTTATATTTGCGATAATAGCTAAGTCGTAAATGCATTGCTTTATATTGTTATTTGACGTAGTTATGTTGTTAGGTAGGATGTTACATATTATGTGCTCAGTTCAAGTCTTGATTGTCTAACTACTGTAATTATCGCTTGTGGCTCGTTTCCCTGCCGGCTTCTCGTTGTTGCTGGGCAGCAACCCACGGAGCTATCACGTGATCGAGGGGGGGGTGTCCTCACCTCGCCTGAAGTATTCAGTCTGGTCTAGACTCTCTTGGTGGTTGGACAGATTGTCTCATTATTCTTGTTAGTTCTGTAGAACTCTGTTCACAGAATATTGTATAGACTTAGTGATTTTCGACGTTGTACTGAGGTTGTGTGTCACAGACACTTGAAACATCTCAGGTCCTGAGCTGTAGCTTCTGACCTAATTTGTACTGGTATCTGTGTATTATCACATTCGGGGATTTTCTTATGCTAAACTTAGATTCAGTAGTATGGGAGTTTTGTGACTTGTGGAGGATCTGCAGATGGTCCCTGCTTAGTGTCGTTATATTATCTCCTTGTTCCTGATTCTGTGTCGCAGTTGCTTGTTATATTGCTATTGGGATTAGCATTCTTTTTATTGTTCAAGCAGACTGTTCTGATTGCCAGTTGGTCAAGAAGTTAGTTTATTTGAGGACTTTGTCAGTCACTTGTTTAAGTCTAGTCGAGTCGTGAGACATAGCGAACTACTTAGAGCACTTACACACATACATACTTACTTGTACATATTTGTAATATCTTATTAAATGTTAATGTACCAGACGGTACTTAAGAATTATAAATGTGATATGTGCTTTCAGCACAATAATATTGTACTTGAGAGAAGTGATATTATTTTGATTACTGTGATTTAATTTAATTTAATTTAATTTGATAATATACCTCTAGACTTAATAAATTTATTAAATTTTAATTTCTCTAGTTAGTAGCCTACCAGTTGTAACCCTGAAGAACTATTAATTCATACTGAATTCTAATGGATAATTGGACAAGGATACTGACTACTTGTTACGAAAACCCAGTAACAGGCTGGATGCTAGTATTCACTGGAGATCTCTAAGCTTTTAGAATCGCGTTTTTTGAAACATCCTGTTGTCCGTCTTACTCTTAATTCTTTCAATAATAACTCTGCCATACTCAACAGGCTTATTCCCCTATAATTTTTACACCCTCTTTTGTCCCCTTTGCCTTTATACAAAGGAAGTACGCATGCTCTCTCCCAATCTCTAGGTACCTTCCCCTCCTTTATACATTTAATAAATAAAATCACCAACCATTCCAAAATTATATCCCCACCTTCTTTTAACATTTCTTTTTTGATCAGATAAATCTCAGCTGCATTAACACCTTTCATTCTACCCACTGCCTCATATTCCTCCCCATAATCACATCTAGCTCTTCCTCACTTCTAGATGTTATATTTCCCTGCCTAATTCTCGAAATCACAGCTTCCCTATCTTCATCAACACTTAACAGTTCCTCACAATTTTTTCTCTTCATCTTCCCAATACCTCTAACTCCCCATCTAACAACTCTCCTCTTCTATTTTTAACTGTCAAATCCATTCGTTTCCTTGGCTTTCTTAACTTAGTAATCTCACTCCAAAACTTTCTTATTCTCAGTAAAATTTGTTGATAGCATCTTACCCACTCTCTCATTTGCTCTCCTTTTACATTAGTTCACCACTCCCTTTCTCTTCATATACTCCTCCCTCCTTATATTACTTCTACTTTGTAAAAGCCTCTCATATGCACTTTTGCTCTCGTACTACTCTGTACCTCATTCCACCAATCGATCCTCTTCCCTCTCACACCCACTTTACTGTAACCATGCACTTCTGCAGAACACTAACACTACATTCTTAAATCTACCCTTTCAACCTCATTTCCTATACTCTCACTTGCCCATCTTTATACCAATAGTTTATATCTTACCCCTAACTGCTTCCTTGTTAAGTTTATAAACCTTCACCTCTCTCATTTCCTGATGCCGTTTTCCTTGTAACCCATGTACCTTTTACTCTTGCTGTGGCTACAATTAAAAATGATTTGATATATCTGTTGCCCCCTCTATAAATATTCACATCCTGAAGTTACCCATGAACTTTTTATCTACCAATACATTGTGCAATAATCTACTGTCATTATGCCCTGTATCATATCTCGTGTACTTATTTATCCCTTTTTCCTTAAAACATATATTACCTGTTGCCAAACCTCTTTCTATACAAAGTTCAATTGAAATAAGGTCCAGAATAAACAATGCAGGCATTCCTGGCACTAAAATAACATTTCCGCTATTTATTAGTTATGTTTCCAGGATTTACAAATGAATTCCATTATGATTTTTTATTCATATAATGAATTTTTATTCACACTAATTAATAGAAGATTTATTGTTATGAAATACTGTAATAATTGTATGAATTATATCAGCGCATTCATGACATCATTTTTCACTCTTGAACATCAGCAAAAATCAAACATTTCTGCTACTTTGAGCAAGTTTCAAGCCATTTTATTTACTAAAATGAATCAAAATCGTCTCCATTTCTGTAATACATCTTTTGTTCTATAAAATGAGACCAAGAAACCGCAAATACAACTGTAAAAACCATACGAAAATACACTGCAAACTTGCTGTTTTAATCCAAAAACATGGTCACAATTTTTCTCTCATTATGCACTGCATGCTGCAGGATTGGTTTTATATGGTACACGCTTACCACATAGATGCCTTCTCTCAAATCTAGGTCCAAATTTACCGCTCACAGCTTATCTGAGTGAGCTGAGCTCATGGCGTAGACCTACAGCTTGAACCCTGGCTTCAAAGCCATAGAACGACAGGAAGGACCCTCAAAGGGTTAAGTAAATTTCTTAAATTTGCTCCTAACAGGTAAGCCAACTGTACATAGAAATCCAGATACATGCCTGTTAATCCTTTTGGAGCCTAGTTCTAAGGCCTTTTGTGTATTCATATGCTCTTGCTCTACCATCCATAGGATGGATATGAGATGCACAACGAACTAGCAGCTTTGGTGGCAAAATCTAATAAGGTTATTCTTCATGTATCCTTGCCAAGGCTTCATTTAGAGTTTGCTGTGCAGTTCTAGTCACCATTTTATAGAATGAACATTAATGTGCTCAAAAACAGAGAAGGATGACAAAGTTGATCCAGTGCATCAGAAATCTTTCTTATAAGGATAGAAAGAGGGCACAGAATGTGTACTCTCTGGAAAGGTGTAGAATCAGGGAGGATATGATTTAAGGTGATCAGAAATTGGTAATTTGGCCAATTTCACACAAATTTCAAAATATGCCAATTTCAAACAGGGTCCAGAATAAACAATGCAGGCATTCCTGGCACTAAAACAACATTTCCTTTGTTTATTATTTACCTACCATGGACAGCTACATAAACTTTTATAGTGTTATACACAGATTAATTATGTCTAAGAAAACAAATTTTCAGCTATGTCTAAGAAAACAAATTTTCAATGTGCTAGAAATTTATTACACAAAATATTAAAATGATAAATTCGCTTTACAGCTTGAAAAAAGTCCTATCTTTAAAAATAACATTAAAAAGTAAAAAATACACCTATCAATCCTGGATTATATGCACGAACATGGATCACATAAGAACCTATTATTTCTCCAATGACTAATTGTTTTTCCAATGACTATTCAACTGAATGCAAACAAAAACAAATTCATTGATTTTAATTAACTGAAAGATGGCTTGTATGTAATATCTATGACAAATTCTCACCTAGTGTAACTGAGAGCGGACGAATGAGTGTCGACGATATTGGCTCAACGAGAATTGATGAGATGTTGTCAGCAGTTCCATTGTTTGGTCCTGGAGCAAGGTTTAGCAGATGACAAAGAAGCATGTATGTATCTATATTGCTGAAATCTGGGGCCTTAAATCCTCTCTTGAATGATGGCCCAGCTGCTACAAAAATTGGTTCCATATTAGGAATGTCAACAGGATAACCGTGGTTCCCATGGGTGTCCGTCACTGTTGAATATAAATCATTTTGAATCGAATGAAAATACCTAAATTGTTTAAAAAATTGCCTAACTTTAAATTTATGCTGAACTGTATATTTAACATAGAACAGAATGTTAGGGGTAAATGATAATGGGGGGGGGGGGGAAGCTTTCAATTGAACTTTGTATAGAAAGAGGTTTGGCAACAGGTAATATATTTTTTAAGGAAAAAGGGATAAATAAGTACACGAGATATGATACAGGGCATAATGACAGTAGATTATTGCACAATGTATTGGTAGAGAAAAAGTTCATGGGTAACTTCAGGATGTGAATATTTATAGAGGGGGCAACAGATATATCAAATCATTTTTAATTGTAGCCACAGCGAGAGTAAAAGGTACATGGGTTACAAGGAAAACAGCATCAGGAAATGAGAGAGGTGAAGGTTTATAAACTTAACAAGGAAGCAGTTAGGGGTAAGATATAAACTATTGTATAAAGATGGGCAAGTGAGAGTATAAGAAATGAGGTTGAAAGGGTAGATTTAAGAATGTAGTGTTAGAGAGTTCTGCAGAAGTGCATGGTTACAGTAAAGTGGGTGTGAGAGGGAAGAGGATCGATTGGTGGAATGAGGTACAGAGAGTAGTACAAGAGCAAAAGTGCATATGAGAGGCTTTTACAAAATAGAAGTGATATAAGGAGGGAGGAGTATATGAAGAGAAAGGGAGTGGTGAACTAATGTAAAAGGAGAGCAAATGAGAGAGTGGGTAAGATGCTATCAACAAATTTTACTGAGAATAAGAAAGTTTTGGAGTGAGATTACTAAGTTGAGAAAGCCTAGAGAACGAATGGATTTGACAGTTAAAAATAGAAGAGGAGAGTTGTTAGATGGGGAGTTAGAGGTATTGGGAAGATGAAGAGAAAAAATTGTGATGAATGGTTTGAAAAACCGACAAGTTGAAGATTGAGACACTTATGCAGCATATGGGAATCTTTATTCAGGAAACGTTTCGCCACACAGTGGCTTCATCAGTCCAATACAAAGAGGAAGGCGTAAGGAGAGGAGGAGTATGAGGTAATCAGTCGCTCAGCCTGGAGTTGATGTGTTCAGTCCATCAATCTTGTAGAATGTACAGCATAGGGCCGTAGACGTGGCTTATATACTGTAGTGAGGTGAGGTGAAGCAGGCAGAGGCGGGGTCATAGTGGTACCATCCACTAGTCGAAGTAGGTCTTCGTCCAAAGGTTGAACAAGTGTTGAAGAATTCTTTGTAACAAGATCCCATGATGCTGCAGTGTCTGACAGTTGTGATGAATGGTTTGAAAAACCGACAAGTTGAGGACTGAGACACTTACGCAGCATATGGGAATCTTTATTCAGGAAACATTTCGCCACACAGTGGCTTCATCAGTCCAATACATAGAGGAAGGTGTAAGGAGAGGAGGAGTATGAGGTAATCAGTCGCTCAGCCTGGAGTCGATGTGTTCAGTCCATCAATCTTGTAGAATGTACAGCATAGGGCCGTAGACGTGGCTTATATACTGTAGTGAGGTGAGGTGAAGCAGGCGGAGGCGGGGTCATAGTGGTACCATCCACTAGTCGAAGTAGGTCTTCGTCCAAAGGTTGAACAAGTGTTGAAGAATTCTTTGTAACAAGATCCCATGATGCTGCAGTGTCTGACTTCTGGGTGTCAGGAACGGATTAATTGCATTTACGTTATTTCTTATGGGGAAAATTGATTCGTAAATCATCCATTTCGATAATAGTCCCACTTCCAGGAACGGATTATGGACGATAATTGAGGGACCACTGTAGGTATAAAGATACACAACATATTCCTCCAAACTGCTAATATCCCGAAACCCTCCTTTAGAGTGAAGGCATTGTACTTCCCATTTCCAGGATTCAAGTCCGGCTATAAAAAAATAACCGGTTTCCCTGAATCCCTTCACTAAATATTACCCTGCTCACACTCCAACAGATCGTCAGGTCCCAAATACCATTCATCTCCATTCACTCCTATCAAACACACTCATGCACGCCTGCTGGAAGTCCAAGCCCCTCGCCCACAAAACCTCCCTTACCCCTTCCTTCCAACCTTGTCGAGGACGACCCCTACCCCGCCTTCCTTCTCCTACAGATTTAAATGCTCTCCATGTCATTCTACTTTGATCCATTCTCTCTAAATGACCAAACCACCTCAACAACCCCTCTTCAGCCCTCTGACTAATACTTTTATTAGCTCCACACCTACTTCAAATTTTCTGAATAATATTTACACCACACATTGCCCTTAGACAGGACATCTCCACTGCCTCCAACTGCCTCCTTGCTGCTGCATTCACAACCCAAGCTTCACAGCCATATAAGAGTGTTGGTACTACTATACTTTCATACATTCCCTTCTTTGCATCCATAGATAACTTTTTTTTGACTCCACATATACCTCAAAGCACCACTCACCTTTTCTCCCCTCATCAATTCTATGATTATCTCATCCTTCATAAATCCATCTGCCAACACGCCAACTCCCAAGTATCTGAAAACAAACATTCACTTCTTCCATACTCCTCCTCCCCAATTTGATATCCAATTTTTCTTTATCTAAATCATTTGATACCCTCATCACCTTACTCTTTTCTATGTTCACTTTCAACTTTCTACCTTTACACACATTCCCAAATTCGTCCACTAACCTTTGCAATTTTTCTTTAGAATCTCCCATAAGCACAGTATCATCAGCAAAAAGTAACTGTGTCAATTCCCATTTTGTATTTAATTCCCCATAATTTAATCCCACCCCTCTTCCGAACACCCTAGCACTGTATAGCACTTTGTCTGGATTTTTGGGGTTATCCTAGGTAATTTACACTATGTATAACTTTACTTATGTGCACCTGTGTGTGTGTGTGTGAGAGAGAGAGAGAGAGAGAGAGAGAGAGAGAGAGAGAGAGAGAGAGAGAAAAGGAGAGAGAGAGGAGAGAGAGAGAGAGAGAGAGAGAGAGAGAGAGAGAGAGAGAGAGACAGAGACAGAGACAGAGACAGAGAGAGAGAGAGAGAGAGAGAGAGAGAGAGAGAGACAGAGACAGAGACAGAGACAGAGACAGAGACAGAGACAGAGAGGAGAGACAGAGACAGAGACAGAGACAGAGACAGAGAGAGAGAGACAGAGAGAGAGACAGAGAGAGAGACAGAGAGAGAGACAGAGAGACAGAGAGACAGAGAGACAGAGACACAGAGACAGAGGGACAGAGAGACAGAGGGACAGAGAGACAGAGACAGAGAGACAGAGACAGAGAGACAGAGAAAGAGAGAGAGATAAAGAGAAAGAGAGAGAGATAAAGAGAAAGAGAGAGAGAGAAATACAGAGAAAGAAATACAGAGAGAGAGAAATACAGAGAAAGAGAAATACAGAGAGAGAGATAGATAGATACAGAGAAAGAAAGAGAGAGATACAGAAGGAGAGAGATCCAAATTCAGCCAGTTAGGCAGCCAACCACCCCCCCACCCACCCAGCCGGCCTGCTAGCCAGCCAGCTGAATACGTATTACACGTGTTCCAGAGTTTCTCTTTATTTAGGCCATAGGTTATAGGACATTCTGCCAAGATGACACTACCAGTGGTATTCTCCCATTCCACTGTGTCAACAATACTTAAAGATACAGTAACATAAGATACTGTACGAGATGTAAAATTTACAATACAGTTCATTGCCATGTATACATAATATACGGTACATAAATGATTAAAATATATCAATAGAAGTAAATTATGGTAAAAAGGATGAAATAATGATTGTACATTACAATACTCTGTAGGTAGTTTATATAGCAAAGGTTTGACATTATGCCCTACCCAGTATGTCAGCAATTTTCAAAGGTTCGACTTACGTCCATTTTGACTTACGACCAGTTGGTTGGAACCAAGCTCGGTCGTAAGTCAGATGGTACTTGTATATGTTTGTACAGTAGGGCCCCACTTATACGGCGGGTTAGGTTTCAGGCTGTCGCCGGAAAGCAGACATCGCTGGAAGGCAGAACTCCATTTTTTTCCATTTATAAATGCATATAAATGCCAGACAACAAGTTTACACTAAATTATATTAAGTTAGTAATAGAACTAGGCATTAAAAACACACTAAGTAAAATACAGTCACAGTAAATTCATTACTTATCTTAAAGTATTTGTAATCTTAATGTAGGGAGAGAGGTGAGTAGTACTTATTTGTAGGAAGTCACGTGCAGGTAGCCCAGGTGTAGGTAGCACTGGCTCCCCATCTCATACTTAATATACGATGTTTAAAACATCCCAGAGAGGTAAAATGCACATACAGGACACTCATTATTTACCTTAAAATATGTGTAGTCTTAATATAGGAAGAGAGGTGAGTAGTATTTATTTGTATAAAGTCAGTGTAGGTAGCCGGTAGGTGTAGCCTGGGCTACACCTACCGGCTACCTACACTGTGGCCCAGAGCCATATTAACATCGACATGCCTTGTTCACTGAATTTAATCATTTCTAACAACTATCTTTAGATGCCATCATAAACGAAGGTAGAAGTAATGAATAATTCATACCGAAAATTGTAAACAAAAGCTGAGTGGGGGAGTGGCTGGGTCAAACGCAGATTCATAAACATTTTCTCTGATGGCTGAACAGAGAAAACGTAATGTTGTCCCTCCACCCGGCTCCACAAGTATTATTATCAGAGCTTATAAAATATGCAATAAATGCCATACAACAAGTTTACACTAACTTATATTAAGTTAGCAATAGAAATAGGCATTAAAAACACAATAAAAGGTAAGATACACACAGAGTACGCTTATTACTTACCTTAAAATATTAATATTAATGTGTGAGAGGTGAGTGGCAGGGTGTTTATTGAATAAAATCAAAATGGCACACCATCATCCTCTAACTTGGCACTTAAAGCAAGAGGCTTACGACTTCTCTTTTTATTACAGCTAACCTTAGACGCCATCGTCAATGAGAGCCAACTAGTTAACGAAAGGGTAAACGAGAGAGAGAACGAGATACAGAGTTGAGACAATGTAAGAACACAAACTGAACAGGTAGTGGACGATCACTCAGTCAGGCGAAATGCGTATTAATGTGTGTCTACTTTTAGTTCATTCACGTCCATTTGTAAGAGTTTGTAAAACATTTACCTCAATATTTTTTTATTTTAATAATAATTACCTCACAATACAAATACTCTTACATTGTGTACAAGTTAGTTCAGAATAAACAAACAGCAACACACCATTTTTAGAGTGAATGAAGATAATATTAATAATGATAATAATAATAATAATAATAATTAATAATATAATACTCTATTAGTCAAATGATATAAAATGAGTATATGGGGGTTGAAGAGGTTGGAATAGTTTTATAAAATGCAGTATTAAAAATGTGGGGCAGAAGGTCTGTGGTTTTAGGAGGGTGGGTGCAGAGAAAGAGGAGTATTGGTGGATGATGAAGTTAAGGTGTGATAAAAGAGAAAAAGGTAGCTTATGAGAGGTTTCTACAAAGCAGAAGTGTTATAAGAAGAGCAGAATATATGGAGAGTAAAATGAATAGGTATATGAGTGGTAGAGTGCTAAAAGGAGAGCAGATGATAGAGTGGGAGAGGCACTGTCAAGAAATTTTAATGAAAATAAGAAAAAATTTGGAGTGAGTTAAACAAGTTAAGAAAGCCAAGGGAAAATATGGATTTGTCAGTTAAAAACAGAGTAGGGGAGTTAGTAGATGGGGAGATGGAGGTATTAGTAGATGGCGAGAATATTTTGAGGAACTTTTAAATGTTAAGGAAGAAACAGAGGCAGTAATTTCATGCACTGGTCAGGGAGGTATACCATCTTTTAGGAGTGAAGAAGAGCAGAATGTAAGTGTGGGGGAGGTACGTGAGGCATTACGTAAAATGAAAGGGGTAAAGCAGCTGGTACTGATGGGATCATGACAGAAATGTTAAAAGCAGGGGGGATATAGTGTTGGAGTGGTTGGTACTTTTGTTCAATAAATGTATGAAAGAGGGGAAGGTACCTAGGGATTGGGCGAGAGAGCATGTATAGTCCCTTTATATAAAGGGAAAGGGGACAAAAGAGACTGTAAAAATTATAGAGGAATAAGCTTACTGAGTATACCAGGAAAAGTGTACGGTAGGGTTATAATTGAAAGAATTAGAGGTAAGACAGAATGTAGGATTGCGGATGAGCAAGGAGGTTTCAGAGTGGGTAGGGGATGTGTAGATCAAGTGTTTACATTGAAGCATATATGTGAACAGTATTTAGATAAAGGTAGGGAAGTTTTTTATTGCATTTATGGATTTAGAAAAGGCATATGATAGAGTGGATAGAGGAGCAATGTGGCAGATGTTGCAAGTATATGGAATAGGTTGGTAAGTTATTAAATGCTGTAAAGAGTTTTTATGAAGATAGTGAGGCTCAGGTTAGGGTGTGTAGAAGAGAGGGAGACTATTTCCCGGTAAAAGTAGGTCTTAGACAGGGATGTGTAATGTCACCATGGTTGTTTAATTATTTATAGATGGGTTGTTTTAAAGGGAAGTAAATGCTAGGGTGTTTGGGAGAGGGGTGGGATTAAATTATGGGGAATCAAATTCAAAATGGGAATTGACACAGTTACTTTTTGCTGATGATACTGTGCTTATGGGAGATTCTAAAGAAAAATTGCAAAGGTTAGTGGATGAGTTTGGGAATGTGTGTAAAGGTAGAAAGTTGAAAGTGAACATAGAAAAGAGTAGGTGATGAGGGTGTCAAATGATTTAGATAAGAAAAATTGGATATCAAATTGGGGAGGAGGAGTATGGAAGAAGTGAATTGTTTTCAGATACTTGGGAGTTGACGTGTCGGCGGATGGATTTATGAAGGATGAGGTTAATCATAGAATTGATGAGGGAAAAAAGGTGAGTGGTGCGTTGAGGTATATGTGGAGTCAAAAAACGTTATCTATGGAGGCAAAGAAGGGAATGTATGAAAGTATAGTAGTACCAACATCTTATATGGGTGTGAAGCTTGGGTGGTAAATGCAGCAGCGAGGAGACGGTTGGAGGCAGTGGAGATGTCCTGTTTAAGGGCAATGTGTGGTGTAAATATTATGCAGAAAATTCGGAGTGTGGAAATTAGGAGAAGGTGTGGAGTTAATAAAAGTATTAGTCAGAGGGCAGAAGAGGGGTTGTTGAGGTGGTTTGGTCATTTAGAGAGAATGGATCAAAGTAGAATGACATGGAAAGCATATAAATCTATAGGGGAAGGAAGGCGGGGTAGGGGTCGTCCTCGAAAGGGTTGGAGAGAGGGGGTAAAGGAGGTTTTGTGGGTAAGGGCTTGGACTTCCAGCAAGCGTGCGTGAGCGTGTTAGATAGGAGTGAATGGAGACGAATGGTACTTGGACCTGACGATCTGTTGGAGTGTGAGCAGGGTAATATTTAGTGAAGGGATTCAGGGAAACCGGTTATTTTCATATAGTCGGACTTGAGTCCTGGAAATGGGAAGTACAATGCCTGCACTTTAAAGGAGGGGTTTGGGATATTGGCAGTTTGGAGGGATATGTTGTGTATCTTTATATGTGTATGCTTCTAGACTGTTGTATTCTGAGCACCTCTGCAAAAACAGTGATAATGTGCGAGTGTGGTGAAAGTGTTGAATGATGATGAAAGTATTTTCTTTTTGGGGATTTTCTTTCTTTTTTGGGTCACCCTGCCTCGGTGGGAGACGGCCGACTTGTTGAAAAAAAAAAAAAAAAAAAAAAAAAAAAATTATTATTAATAATAATAATTATTATTATTATTATTATTATTATTATAAAAAGCACTAAACCCACAAGGGTCCTGAACTGCTATACATAGAGTAAGGGCATACGAAAAGAATATTTTTCTACAGTTACCCCCCAGTGTTTGACTAGAGAAAACGTAATTCTTCCGACACTACCTACACAGCTGCTTTGTAAACAAATCTCATATTTACATCAATTTTTATTCTGAGTGTATGTATCATGTTTATATGCTATGTAATGGGTTTCATATGTAATTTTGAGGAAAATATCATAGATGGATTAATGAAAATGCCTATATTGATGTAAAATAAGACATTTAGTGTGCCCAAGAGTGATTATTATTACGTAGTATTGGCGTCATGAGTAGAGAGAGACTTAGCGATTTTAATGTGTACCTGCACACCAGCACAGTGTGTAAGTATATTTAAGTACAGGTACACATAAGTATAATTATCAGAGTACATATAAGTTTCCTGACATAATAGATGTGGTCACGGAAAATGTAAACAAACCGGGTGGGGGGGCGCCGTATTTAAATGACCGCTTGCCGTATAGCAAATTTTGGTCATAATTTGACATCGCCGTATTAGCGGAACGCCGTAAGGCGAAACGCCGTAAAGCGGGGCCTTACTGTACATCCAAGTGTAGTGTGACCTAAGTGCAAGTATAAGTAGCAAGACGTACCTGAAATCTTGCATGTTTATGAGACAGAAAAAAGACACCAGCAATCCTACCATCATGTAAAACAACTGCAGGCTTCCATTTTACACTCACTTGGCAGGACAGTAGTACTTCCCTGGGTGGTTGCTGTCTACCAACCTACTACCTAAAATGTGATGTTATTATCACTACTATTTTACATGTATAATCTGAAGGCCATGCACCATTATCACAAGTAACTGGCAAAAACAAAACAAATACCTCAAAAACAAATAATTACTAGAGAGCAAATGCTCAACAACTTTCTTCCACAAAGAAGTCACAACTGAGATACAGCTTGGTAATATTCTTCAGCACTCAAATACTCAGCAACCTCAAGGGCACGATAATTACTAAAAGTATTTGTCCTTCAGGGAAATTTGAGTATGAATCAGTGTGTTAAATATTTGCATGCTGACTTTGGTGAGTGCATATGTATGATTGTTACTGTAACTAAGATCCATAAAGCTGAAGGATTCGTGTAATACGTACAGTCAGTGGCTCCTTTCTTCTTCATATAATCAATGTAATTTTTAAAATCTTTAAATACGTAGCCTTCGGCAGCAAGTATGGAGATCTGGCTGATGCGAGTATTTTTACTATAATGCCAAGCCAAGAACTGTGGATCCTCCTTTAGGTATACCGTGTAGTTGTGTGTCCGACTTCCTTCCAGCAAACTGGAATAAACTTCCAATTGCTTTTCTGTAAAATAAACACACATGAAGAATGCAATTTATTTATTTATTTTATGTCTTTGCAAACAGTACATTGAGATTTTGTGTTTACAATAGTGGGTTGCAATGCAAAGAGAGCCTCTATTATGTCTAGGCATTATGGGCCAACTTAACATTATTGACTTACAGACTACTTACTTACTACTTAACACTAAGGATTATATCATAGTTGTACAGTAGGATAGTAATTATTTCATAGTTGTACAGAAGATTATTAATTATAAGCCAATCAAATTTGTATAAGACAAAAGATATATTCATATATTCTAAAATGCTTTTTGTGAAAACAATGATTCAATTATATTTCTGTCAACAATGGATAAAAGGTTCACAGTGATTGTTGAAGTTATGATGTGGGAGTAATTAAGTGAGTATGTGTGTACTGAGTATTTAGCGTTTAGTCTAGGGTGATTAAGTGGCTTTTGTGAAGAGTCTTAAATTGATTTTCAGATCGGGTTATTTTAATATCTTCTGGTAATGAATTCCATATTTTGGGGCCCTTTATGTGCATAGAGTTTTTACACAGTGTGATATGGACACGAGGTATATCAAAAAGAGATCTGTGTCTTGTGTTGTGGTCATGTGTCCTGTTTAAGATGGTGAGGAGAAGTTTGAATGGAGGGTTTATATTTGTGTGTATTGTACTGTGAATGAAGCAGGCACATGAATAAGTATGGATGTTCTTAATGGTGAGCAGATTCAGACTTTTGAAAATTGGTGGAGTATGCTGGCTGGAGTGGAAATTCGTTATCATTCTTACTGCTGCCTTTTGCTGAGTTATTAGGGGTTTTAGGTGATTGGATGTTGTTGATCCCCATGCACAAATTCCTTATGTAAGATAAGGGTACATGAGTGAATGGTACAATGCCAGGAGAGCTGTTTGTGGAACATAGTACCTTATCTTTGACAGTATGCCTACAGTCTTGGAGATTTTCTTGGTGATTTGTTGTATATGTGTCCAGAACTTAAGGCTACTGTCAAGGTGGATACCTAGGAATTTTCCCTCTGAGTCTTGTGACTGATGATCCATTTAGCATTATGTTAATCAGATCATTTGCAGCTTTGTTTCCATACTGAATGAAATAAGTTTTATCAGTATTCAGGGTAAGTTTATTAGTCATCATCCAGGCAGATATTTTCTGTAATTCGGCATTGACTGTGTTTGCTAGTATGACTGGGTGGGAAAAGACATATGTAGTGTCATCTGCAAATAATATGGGTTTGAGTAGCTGTGAGGCATTTGGTTGATCACTGATGTAGATGAGAAAGAGGAGTGGTCTAAGGACACTTCCTTGTGGGACTCCTACTGTGATTGGTTGGGCGGAAGAGTTTGCATCATTTGCATACACATATTGAGTTCTGTTACTAAGGTATGATTTTAGGTAGTTGAGTGAGTGGTCTCTGATACCATAGTGTGTTAATTTGGAGTACAGTAGTTCGTGGTCGACTGTATCGAAAGCTTTACATAAATCAATGAAAATGCCCAGCGGGACTTTCTTTCTTTTCGAGTGTGGTATATATTAGTTCTAGCATGTGAATGATAGCATCATTTGTGCTTTTATTATTCCTGAATCCAAACTGACAAGGGTTTAATATGTTGTGCGAGACGAGGTAGGAATAGATCCGTCTATGAATAAATTTTTCGAAGATTTTAGAGAGCAGTGGTAAGTTAGATATTGGTCTATAGTATTCAAGTCAGCTTGGTCACCTCCTTTGTGGATCGGAGTGACCCTCGCTATATTGAGGATTGTTGGGAATGTAGATGATTCAATGGATTTGTTAAAGAGTGTTGCAATAATTGGTGACAATACTTTAGAAGCTTTTTTGTACATAAAAGCAAGCAAGTTGTTTATGTCTCCTGCCTTGTTTTTAAGTGTGTTTATGATGAGCGTAAGTTCTATGGGGTTGGTTGGAGCTAGGAATAGCGTATTTGGGTAGGTACCTATGAGGTAGTCTGATGGATGGGTGTTTACGCTTGGTATTTTGTTCGCTAGATTTTCTCCTATGGTGGAGAAGAAAACATTGAGTCTGTTCACTGTTTCAGTAGGTGTGAGTAGGGGTTCATCTGATTTTGTTAGTTTGATTGTTTTGTTTTTGGATAACTTTTTATTTCCAAGAATTTCAGATAGAGTTTTCCAGGGTTTTTTTCATATCACCTTTGATGTTATGTAATCTATTTTCATAATACAATTTTTTAGATCTTCTTATCAGGCTGGTAAGTGCTGACGAGTAACGTTTAGACTGTACTCTAGTTATTTGACCCATTCTATACTGCTTTTCATATTTGTGCTTTGTGTTAATGAATTTGAGGATGCTTGGTGTTAGCCAGGGATTATTCAGTCTCTTTGCTGTGATCTGTTTAGTTTTTTGGGGGCAATGTTTGTTATAGAGGCTCTGGGCTTTATTTAGAAAATTATTACTGCACCATAGTAACTTAATGTGCTTCAGTTACATTGCAATCAGAATAAAGGTATTCTATTTCTGGTAACACCAGCTTCCAAACATTCTAAGATAACATTAATAAAACATTAATGAATTCAAAAAGGAAAAAAAAATAAAAAATTATAATTCTAAATTATTACAAAGTATGTAAATCCAACTTATAAGAGGTGAAAACTGTATTAACAGCTCTATGTCTTTAAAACAATTTTCATAAGAGTGAACAAAACACAATTTCAGGTGTGAGAAATTAACCTTTAAACTGTGTTCAATGTACCAGTATGCAACTGTTGACTGTCCAATGTACCAGTATGCAACTGTTGACTGTCCAATGTACCAGTATGCAACTGTTGACTGTCCAATGTACCAGTATGCAACTGTTGACTGTCCAATGTACCAGTATGCAACTGTTGACTGTCCAATGTACCAGTATGCAACTGTTGACTGTCCAATGTACCAGTATGCAACTGTTGACTGTCCAATGTACCAGTATGCAACTGTTGACTGTCCTACGTACCAGTATGCAACTGTTGACTGTCCAATGTACCAGTATGCAACTGTTGACTGTCCAATGTACCAGTATGCAACTGTTGACTGTCCTATGTACCAGTATGCAACTGTTGACTGTCCAATGTACCAGTATGCAACTGTTGACTGTCCTATGTACCAGTATGCAACTGTTGACTGTCCAATGTACCAGTATGCAACTGTTGACTGTCCAATGTACCAGTATGCAACTGTTGACTGTCCAATGTACCAGTATGCAACTGTTGACTGTCCAATGTACCAGTATGCAACTGTTGACTGTCCTATGTACCAGTATGCAACTGTTGACTGTCCAATGTACGAGTATGAAACTGTTGACTGTCCTATGTACCAGTATGCAACTGTTGACTGTCCAATGTACCAGTATGCAACTGTTGACTGTCCAATGTACCAGTATGCAAACTGTTGACTGTCCAATGTACCAGTATGCAACTGTTGACTGTCCAATGTACCAGTATGCAACTGTTGACTGTCCAATGTACCAGTATGCAACTGTTGACTGTCCAATGTACCAGTATGCAACTGTTGACTGTCCAATGTACCAGTATGCAACTGTTGACTGTCCAATGTACCAGTATGCAACTGTTGACTGTCCAATGTACCAGTATGCAACTGATGACTGTCCAATGTACCAGTATGCAACTGTTGACTGTCCAATGTACCAGTATGCAACTGTTGACTGTCCAATGTACCAGTATGCAACTGTTGACTGTCCAATGTACCAGTATGCAACTGTTGACTGTCCAGTGTACCAGTATGCAACTGTTGACTGTCCAGTGTACCAGTATGCAACTGTTGACTGTCCAGTGTACCAGTATGCAACTGTTGACTGTCCAGTGTACCAGTATGCAACTGTTGACTGTCCAGTGTACCAGTATGCAACTGTTGACTGTCCAGTGTACCAGTATGCAACTGTTGACTGTCCAGTGTACCAGTATGCAACTGTTGACTGTCCAGTGTACCAGTATGCAACTGTTGACTGTCCAGTGTACCAGTATGCAACTGTTGACTGTCCAATGTACCAGTATGCAACTGTTGACTGTCCAATGTACCAGTATGCAACTGTTGACTGTCCAATGTACCAGTATGCAACTGTTGACTGTCCAATGTACCAGTATGCAACTGTTGACTGTCCAATGTACCAGTATGCAACTGTTGACTGTCCAATGTACCAGTATGCAACTGTTGACTGTCCAATGTACCAGTATGCAACTGTTGACTGTCCAATGTACCAGTATGCAACTGTTGACTGTCCAATGTACCAGTATGCAACTGTTGACTGTCCAATGTACCAGTATGCAACTGTTGACTGTCCAATGTACCAGTATGCAACTGTTGACTGTCCAATGTACCAGTATGCAACTGTTGACTGTCCAATGTACCAGTATGCAACTGATGACTGTCCAATGTACCAGTATGCAACTGATGACTGTCCAATGTACCAGTATGCAACTGTTGACTGTCCTATGTACCAGTATGCAACTGTTGACTGTCCTATGTACCAGCATGCAACTGATGACTGTCCAATGTACCAGTATGCAACTGATGACTGTCCAATGTACCAGTATGCAACCGATGACTGTCCAATGTATATGCAACTGTTGTCTGTCCTATGTACCAGAATGCAACTGATTACTGTCCAATGTACCAGTATGCAACTGATGGCTGTCCAATGTACCAGTATGCAACCGATGACTGTCCAATGTATATGCAACTGTTGTCTGTCCAATGTACATGCAACTGTTGACTGTCCAATGTACCAGAATGCAACTAATTACTGTCCAATGTACCAGAATGCAACTGATGACTGTCCAATGTACCAGAATGCAACTGATGACTGTCCAATGTACCAGTATGCAACCAATGACTGTCCAATGTATATGCAACTGTTGTCTGTCCAATGTACCAGAATGCGACTGATGACTGTCCAATGTACCAGTATGCAACCGATGACTGTCCAATGTATATGCAACTGTTGTCTGT